AATTGTCGTCACATTAAAACATTATGTTTTTTGTATAAATTTTACCTTCATTAATGTAAATTATGATTGAATTGTCGGTCGAAAATAAATTGTAAGCAAAAAATTACGTTTACTCTTAAGTATATCATTTGTGAGAATTTTTTTTTCGGTATAATGATATAAATATGTTATTCATTGTTAGACATGATGTACAATATTCATTTAGTTATTAATCTTGACTTTTTGGATCATTGAAGTCATTATTTACTCTTAATGACGTTGACTACTGCAATGCCTGACTGCCATAGGACTGAGCCGTATGGAGCACTAGATAGATTTTGATGGTATTGGTATATTTATGTCAAAGACAAAGTCAAAATCATTTATTTCAATTAGACCAGGAAGGCACTTTTGAACGTCTAAACAAAATATTGAATTATTAAAAAAAATATCAGTCTGTCGGTCAGTTCTCTAGTGAAGCTATTTGCTCGTTCCAAAGAGTAGATTCCTATGGAGAAGAACGAGCAAGAGACTCCATGGGTTACTCTTTTCAATCAGGTTCACAATACCACATTATAATTACATGTTCAATTTTAGAATATAATAGAATAGAATATAACTTTATTGTACACCATTAATAATACAGTACATACAGAAAAGGAAATGACAAATATAAATAAAAATAATAATGGGCATAAAGGCGGTCTTATCACTTATAGTGATTTCTACCAGACTACCTTTGGGTGGATATAATGAAAAGAAATATTTAGACGGGTTGTGTACTAAGAAAAAAAAATAATGTAGTAATAATATATACATACATGTACACAACTATTTTATCAGTTAATTCAAAATTAATTTCCGATGAACACATCTGCATATTTGAGAAAAATGATAAATAAAATAGAATTATACATTCAGTCATTCTAACTGTAAATGAAAACTGAAATACTTATTTTCCTTAGTGCAACAGGTCAGTTACAAGCATACAAAATGGCGTCCGATTGTGTTCCACGAACAAAACTATATACCTATGATAGAACCACTATATTTATGCTACAACTAAATATTATTATTATAGTTCTTCAGCCATTGCAGTGATTATTATTTTTGTAAGGTTCCGTAAAACGATTGATATTGAAGTGCTCTAAAATTATTCTCATATATGAGGGTGCGGGTTCGAAACCTACCAACGGCAAGTACCAAGGACTAATGTGACTTTTCCGAGCTATATGTACTTTCTAAGATTAAGACACCAATGATTAACGGTGAAGAAACCGTGAGGAAACCTGGACTTATAATTTGTAATTATTAGTTTGAAATCGTAATGAGCAAGCGTGGTGATTAATACTCAAACCGTATTCTTGTGAGAAGCGACTTTGCTCAGCAGTGGGCATTTATAGGCTGTTGATGATGGTGATAATGAAAAATTTATTTTATACACCTTGTCTTTTGTATTTAAATCATCAACACCCCATGTCAGTTCATTATTTGGAGTATTGAGCCTTCTCTCCATGAGAAGTTTTGCTATAATATCCAGGCTTAGCAGGTGAGTTGGTGACAGTATAATACATATGCATTCATTTCATCGAACCCTTTACAACTTAAACAAAAAGTATTTTACATTTTACAACAAATTGCTCTCATTTTAAAAGTAACTAAATTTCCTTTAGCTGTATAAGCATACGTTGCCAATTAATAAAATACTTGTATTAAAACATAATACATGAAGAAATGAAAAAAAAAGATGGTGGCTCCGTTTTTTTGCTCTCAAATGTATATTTATTTATTTAATAATTTATGTACACACAGACAGCACAGAGGATAACACATATATAAAATAAGAGTACAAAGGTGCTACTTATTCCTGTTGGAATTTCTTCCAGTAGACCTGAGACAGGAAATCTAATTAAAACAAAAGACACAGTGTGTAACAGAAAAATAAGAAATATGTATAAAAAAGACTAAAGCTAAATAATAACTAAATAAATATAGTATAAATAAATATATTTTCCGCGGAACGCCAAACTTAGGTATATTTAGTCTGCAGGTTTTTTGCACATATACAGGGTGGAATTTTGTAACGCCACCTGTATTATTTATTTGTGTATCCAAGAAAATGGAGCCCATTTCGAGCAATTAATTAGTTGGTTCACCATTTTGTGTAAATACATAACATAACATCACGCCTTTTATCCCCGAAGAGGTGGGCAAAGGAGCACATTATGCCACAGTACAATGTAACACCCACTTTTCACTGTTTATGTTATGAGTCCCATGTAATAAGGGGTGAGCCTATTGCCATATACACAATTCCAGATTCCGTGCTTCTACTGATATATTTTTTAAAAACCCTGTAAATCTTTGCCCGACCCGGGAATCGAACCCGAGACCCCTTGCCCGGCAGTAGCACTTGTGACTATTCAGCCAATGAAGGCAGATAAATAAATAAAATAAAGAAAGGTCTTCTTTAAGTAAAATTTTCTATTAAGTGTAACTACTTCCCCCTGTATAATACCCACATACATATAATGTATACATACAAAACTCTATTATAGGTAGGTGTCACACTCCAGTGTCCCACGTAATAGCACCTATATGCTTTTATTACTACAACATTATTATAATTATAATAATAGACACTATTATTGTGTTTGTCCAGTATTTGTTTATTTCATGCAATCTTTTGCTGTTCAACGTTTAAGATTTAATGTCTTCGTTTAAATGTACATTGTGCAAATGTAATTTTAGTTGTTGACAGTATGATATTTTAGTTTTAGATATAAAATAGTTTTATTTTTTGTACTGTCAGCTATTTTTTGTTAGGAACTGAATGGAAGACCAATTTTCAAATTGTTTTCTTTTAATTATAATTGGGCTATTACAAACGTGAGAAATGTCACGTCAAAGGAATGAGACAATGCCATACAACTCGCTTAAGTGCGAGCGACAGACATATGTATAATTTTTTATTTACTTTTTAATTTTAGGGACTTTTATATCGCACGTAGCGTATGTCAGTCGAGGAGGCGTCAGTCCGTCCGTCCGTTTACATAAACGGACGGACGGACTAACTCGTTGGCCGAGTGGTCGCAAGTACGACTGCCAGGCAAGGTGTCTCGGGTTCGATATCCGAGTCGAGCAAAGTATTACTGGGTTTTTAAAAAACTCTCAGTGGTAGTACCGAGTCTGGAATTGTACCCGGTATATGGCTATAGGCTCACCCCCTATTACATTATACTCATAACATAAAATAGTGAGAAGTGGGTGTCATAATGTACAGTGGCATTAACTGCCGTAATGTGCACCTCTGCATACCCCTTCGGGGATAAAAGGCGTGATGTTATGTTATGTAAACGGAGTAACAATATCAGTGGAAATCAAATTATAGCTCAATGGCTATTACAGAAGCCTAGATACGTCCAGTAGCAAAAAGAAAAGAGCTAGCGATATTTTTAATTTTAGTCAAACTTTAATCGACTTTAGTGCCTCGTAATAAAGTCTGAATTTGATTAGGCACCGCTCAATAGTAACATCTGACCAACAATTTTTATTATCGAAATAACTAAATACCTCATTGTCTTTGCGACATAGTTCCCAAACTTTATGTTGGTATTAATCAACAATACTATAACTTTATTTTAATCATTGTTTCGTTTTCCCTAATGAGAGGTAATGGGTTTTTTACTCGTTTAAAATTTACTATCACTTATAAACGCCAGTTTTGTTGACTGCACGATTGGCGCGGTGGCTCGGCAACCGGCTGCCGCGCAACGTGTAGGTACTGGGTTCGATTTCCGCACGGAACACTCTTTGTGTGATCCACAAATTGTTGTTTTGGGTCTGTGTGTCATGTGTATGTGATACAAACATACAAATGTTTGTAAACGCACCCACGATACAGGAGAAAATCCTAGTGTGGGTCAACGTTTTATTAAGAATAAAATAATAATAATAAAAAAGAATTTAATTTTGTGTCTGTTTTGGTAATTAAAAATGTTTTGATCTATAAAAAATATGCAAAGTCACGACTTATGGCCACGTACAGTTGTACTTACTCTTTTCTTATGGTACCTACATGATACTTTTTATATTTGAGTAGTATTTTAAAATAGGAAATTTTTTACTGAACCTCTATTTAAAAGTTTAAGCAAACCAAATTTATTCACTAATCACCTACTGTATATCAAAAAATGAACCGTAAAACAAAAATACTGATTTGCACAAAAATTGTTGAATATTAGGTTAGGTTAGGTTTTGTTTTTTTTTCACGACCTTAAGATTATGGGTTAGGTTAGGTTAAGATTTTGTTGCACTCAAAGAATTATTAGATTTACTTTTAGTTAAAAGATAGTCATTCAGTAAAACAGTTAAGCTTTAATGTATATGGCAATAGGCTCACCCCCTATTACATGGGACTCATAACATAAATAGTGAAAAGTGGATGTTACATTGTACAGGGGCATTAAGTGCCTTAATGTGCACCTCTGCCTACTCCTTTGGGGATAAAAGGCGTGATGTTATGTTAGTTAAGCTTTAAATATGAGCAAATTTAGTGTGCAATTCAGTATTTTTGGTGGTAATTTCGACCATTTTGTATGAAAAAAGGGAATTTAAAGTTAAAGTATTAAATACCACCCTTTTAAAATTGTGAATCTACTGCCTCTTTGACCACTGTAGATTGTAAGTAATAGGTCTGTCTTTATTTCATGGATTAAATTAAGCCCACAGTAATGACTGTGACCGATTACACCCTGTATAGGTATATGTACAGGATGTAAACGAAAGGCTTCCTAAAACGTAGACAATATTTTTTTGTTTTTACAATTTTAATCGTATTTGTTGTGCAGTGCAGTACAGTTATTACAACTATTATTACATACTTACCTAAAAGAAACATTTATTTTTTATTTTTTTTTTTAATATAAGCTCTTTTTTATCATCACATTATTTTTTGGGGGGGGGGGTTTACACTTACACTCCGTATTATAATATACCATAAAAAATCACGATAGACTTACCTAAAAACGATCTCACTCCGAGCGTCCCTCTAGCCACCGATAATATCATAGCCAGGGTAGAGACACCGCCTCCAGCGAAGATATACGCTTGCTTGGCACTGCCACCAGCTGCTGCATCCTTCCTCCTCCTCCACAGAGGAGCACAGGATGATGCACACACGAATATACCGAACACTATACACTCCCAAGCTAACCACCCGGAATTCATTGTCTCTGAAATGAAAATAAGATTCATTTAGCACAGTACATTTTTTTAAATGGTAAATGTATGAGGGAATTCGTTTATACAATTATTTGTGTAGGACAATTACCTATTATAGTAATTTTAAAACAAATGACGGAAGCGAAATTCGACAACACGAGAGTTCGAAAGCATTCATGTTTAAAAACTCGATTATCATTTGTTTTTTATTGATTCGATTCCAACAACTTCGGCACCTATGGAAAACCGACATGATGTTTCATGCAACGCTTGCATTGTGTTTCGTCGTGCGAGTGAGGTTACCGGAGGCACAATTGCCCCCTTTCCCAATCCCCCAATCCGGAATCAATCCTCATATCCCCTAAAGGACGGTAACGCACTTGTAACGCCTCTGGTATTTCGGGTGTCCATGGGCGGTGCGATTGCTTACCATCAGGTGATCCGTCTGTTCGTTTACCGGCTTATACAAAAACTTTGAGTAAGAAAACATAAATAAGATTTGTCCTCTCCTTCCTTCTAATTCCTAGAACCGTTTATGTACCTATATATCTTTAATACTTCCAATACTCAGTATCTTGAATCTCAAGCTAATATTTTTGCTTTTACAGTCTATAGAACAACGAGATATGATTTCTAATTCTTTTACTAACAAAAAATATCATCACGCCTTTTATCCCGAAGGCGTAGAAGTGCACATTACAGCATTTAATGTCACTGTACAATGTAACACCCACTTTTCACTATTTATGTTATGAGTCCCATGTAATAGGGGGTGAGCCTAGAATGGCAATCCATATACCGAGCACAATTCCAGACTCCGTGCGACTACTGAGATTTTCTTTAAATCCCAGCACTACTTTGCCCGACCTAGAATAAAGTCCGAGACCCCTTGCCCGGCAGTCGCACTTGGATCCTTACGATTATTATTTTGCGTACATAACGTCCCATTAACATGAACACAGACTTTGCCTTCAACATAGCACGTCATATTATTATAATTTGTGCATGTGACAGATCAAATATCAAAGATGGTGACTTTTCCGACTGCTACGACAGTAGTAATTAAGACTGTAATAATGAGTACGTAAGGTGCATTATTGTCATTATCATACGTTAGAAATAAAGACGTCTGAATAATAAAAATAAATATAAAAGTCGTATTTTGTTTGTGACTATGTATCATTTTCACACAGATATGTAAATTCCTTTATATTTCTAATCTGTATTTTTTTTATAGCATAAGCCGGTAAACGAGCTGACGGATCATCTGATGGTAAGCAATCGGCGCCGCCCATGGACACCCAAAACACTAAGGCGTTACAAGTGCGTTACTGGCCATTGGGTATTTGTGGATTGTGGAAATTCGGGGATTGGGGAAACTGGGGAGGGGGGTAATTGCCTCAATCACACAACGAAACACAACGCAAGCGTTGTTTCACGTCGGTTTTCTTTGAGGCCGTGGTAGCACTCTGGTCGAGCCAGCCCATTCGTGCCGAGGCATGGCTCTCCCACACTTGAGTATACATTTTGTTGGTAGTTGCGCCACCATGGTATCCCGTTGAAATATAGCCCTTAGGGCAACTCAAGTTCAATTTATTAGAAAAAAACTGTATAATTAAGTTTGTATAACTTGACTTTTGTATTATAAAATAGGAGCAACATCTATCAGATCTGAACAATGTCCAAGATTAACAATATTCCTTAATTAAAAAACAATAATGATGTTTTACTAACTATCTTACGCCACGGTGTCGTGTGAACACGTTACAATTGTGATAATTGTACAAAACATACACTTTCACCATATAAGTACAATGGATAGTTAATATTTTGAGAAGAAAAAAAGATTATTTTAAACATACAGGATTATTTGTAACTAAAGATAAACCTTGGATGACCGTAGTATCATCATAAGCCAACTTTTGTTCTATGACTTGAAACTTCAACAGATTTTTAGCCAAAAATTATTCGCACATAAAAATATTGATATTAAGTAAAAACCAGTGAGCTGCACGACGTCGCCGCGACCGCGCACGCTGCTCATGAGGAAGAACCCCCCTGTGGTTCGAAACTAGTAGAGCTTTTCTCAGTATATTTACGTGAGTAACCCGCCTTTTTACTTAATTTAATATGTCTCACGATAGTTATTATAAAAAGATTGATATTATACGATGGCTATGCGAGAGTACGAGTTGTCGAAAACCAGCCTCAAGTTACTCCTTGAGTAAATCAGCAACCTGCTAATAAAACTCCCGTCAAAATCGGTCCAGTCATTTTGGAGATTAGTCAAAACAAACACACAGAAGCCAAAAAATGTAAAAGATATATTTTGCTATATAATATGTATTGTATTGATATTGATATGCATGTAGTAAAAGCTATTATTCAAATATTACAAACAGAGACTCACACAGATATATGCAAACAAAACACAGATATATGATAATTCCATGCAAAACAAAACACTTCGAATTCAACGATGAACATAATGTACATCACAGCTTAACACCATTTAAAAATAAAAACCTGCATCTTTTATCAACAATACCATTCCTATCACATCTCGATACACGTTATAATTATCACAATAATTAATTGGACTAAATAGACAATAACCTATAGTACTATAATCTACCATTCTTTACTCACTTCCGTGTCAAGTATTACATCTATTACTATGAGCACTTAGATGCAGGAAAATCTACTTTTTCCATGAATATTTATGAGGGAATTTCTTTGTTTCCGATCGTGACTCTGAATGAATGAAGCGTCTACGGTATTGACAGTTTCACTAATAAATATATCTTTATTAATAAATAATTATATAAGTTATAAGTATAATAATAAAATTGTGTCTGGCTACTTCGTTCCGTCTAGTCCACTGTCGGCTCCTCGGCCCCCGCTTAATTTATGTTTCCACGCGGCCTCTAATTATGATATATACTCGTCCCTTGAGGGCCAAGAGTGGATTTTTATTATCAGCGATACTTTAGTTTCCTTTCGGCCTTTAAAATACAGTTGCGAAGAAAATTATTATCCGTCTACCCTATATTGTTCTATACCATTTATTCAAAATAGCCTTCGTATAATTTCGATTTTGGGCGAAGTTTGCCTGTCGTTTGTATAAAAAATCTCTAAACTCTCACGCAGGTCACTGTGTTAGGTCCATTTGACATCAATGAGAAAATCTGTTTTTGTTTTTAGGGGTTCGTGGAACCGATGGTGGACTTAACGCTTCATTACTCACACGAATCGATTTTGTTTAACCGTACTAGCGTAGCCGATACTGAGCCATGGAGAACGTAACAAGTTACCGGGGCTCCGGCTCGAAGTGCATGAACAGGAACGGTGGTTTTTAGTCAGTAAGAGTCTGACACTCTCTCTCGCCGCACCCAGGCGGCGTTAACCTTTCGTGTGTCTAAACGTGGATCCACGCGAGACACAATGTATTTTCTATTGTGTCTCATATCGGAGCATTCAAGCGGTTAATAGATAAACAAGCTGACGGATCACCAGACGGTAAGTGATCGACGCCAACCATGGACTTCCACAACATCAGAGGAGAGCAAGTATATTGTCGTTTATACCCGCAATACCAAATATGATATCACTCCAATCGAGCCGACTTATTTGTGCCGAAGCATGCTTCTTCCGCGTGGAAAATGACGCTATATAATTTATGGCATATTTGGAAAGGTTTAAAGTGGTTTAAATTACATACAAAATACAAAATCCATGCCAAAAACAATACTCCATTTAAGTTCTTAGTAATTCAGTAGAAACTCTGCCAAAATATTGGGAACGTGTTGTATTTGAGCTAATGCCCTTATTTTAATAGAAAATAGATTTGAAGGTAATTGGGCTTCTGATAACCTCACTCACAAGACGAAACACAAAGCAAGCGTTATTTCACGTCTGTCTTCTGTGAGGCCATGGTATCGCTCCGGTCGAGCCTGCCCATTCGTGCCGAAGCATAGCTCTCACACACTTATGAACCTTTGATAAACTTGAACCTCTTAAACTGTGATTTCCAATCCGTTCGCCAAGCAGGGACATTATAAAAATTTTATGTATCAGAGGTTGTCTTTTAAAGGGGGAAAATCATCCAATCGCTTCTCCCGCCTTGGGTGATACGGAAGGGAGTATCAGACTCTTACTGACTACAAACTACCCTGTTCCTACTTCTGCTTTGAATCGGAGCCCCGGCAACCCGATAAGTTGTCCGTAGTTCTGGATCGGGCATTAGTCCCATCTGTGGTGGCCTGAGTGCCAAGCACGAATAACTATCGCATACGTAACGTAATAGTATGGAGATGGAGAGTGTTCGGCGCTCTGATTGGCCGGCTCAAGTGAACCAACCAATCAGAACGCTTAGTTCGCTCGATATTGTTACGATATTTATTCGTGCTTGGCCCTCTGAAGGCTCTTTAAAGTGCGTGTGAAACGCGACGCTCGTACGCTCGAGACTCAGTCCAGTTGTAGACAGGCTATTGATGATGATAAATTATAATAAAGATTCCATTCCAGGACTTTTGATTTATCTAGATCTGAATGCTAACCATTTCTTACTTCGATATCAATCAACATACCAAAGGTAAGGGAACATTAGTCACAAAATCAAGAAGACATTCAATTTATTAGAAGTGTATCTGCATTTCTAAACAACAGCGTTCTTAGGTAATGGTGTAAGCGATTAGCGATCTTAATTATTCAGGTTCAAGGTCTAGAGTCAAGTGTGGTTACCGTTTACATATTTTTTATTAATTCCTTTCACAATCTTATACCTATTGTTAGGTACACGTCTAATCATTCTTATCGTACCATTCTCAATTTTTTTTCCTAAGATTTTTCTAGAGTAGGTACCTAAAGAGGCTACACATGCTAATTTCAAACACGGAAACATTCTTCAATCGACCACTTGTCACTTGGTAGCACGTGTGTCAGAATGTTTTTCAAAATTAGAATGCTCGAAGTCATTGAATGATTTTCCCCACTCAAAAAAAGCT